AGGTTCCCCATGACAGCAGTAATATCCCAATATGAATTAAAAATTCATGCAGCTCTTAAACAACTTACCAAAGCAAATAGTGATTAAAAAAAAAACAAAAAAACTCCACTTTTCAATTTTAAGAAATATTTAATAAACATTTTATGATACAAAAAAGTTAAAACTATGATAGAATAATAATAATGATAATAATAATAATAAAGAAGAAACACAAATTCATCATTTAAAATACCAAAGACAAAACTCATAATTTTAACTTGTTTTTCACTCTCATGCAAATACCGAATAATTAAGTCTCATGCAAACTGCTGCACAGTAAACACACAGATGGTTTTGTCTATTTCAAGCCAGAGGAAATGAGATTCAAAATAACAAATGCATTCAGAGCTGTCAACATTTTCCCCCTTTATGCATTCGTGCTGTCACTCCCCGAGAGGGCTGCTGTTCTCCTCATGTAATCGAGCTGTAAACGGAGACAACATTTACTGTCTCGCTTTGTGATATATCACTGACATCCTGCTATCGTCCACATGGACAATATTCCTGACAACGGCTGTAAATCTGCGGCTGAAGGTTTGAAAAGGAAGCGAGCGGCGACGACAGTTTCCACACCGCCCGCAGATGTTCGTCTCAACGCTGCAGCACTGTCACTGTCCCTGCTCTGTTATTAGTCGCAGGATCAAACTGAGGAGTAAATGTCTGAGGCTGATGTGCACCAGTAGTTAGATATTCCACTACTGTCACATGATGAGGTTATTTTAATTAATAAATGAAACATAATGGCAAAAATTTCATTTTTTTATATTTTAAATTTGCTCGTGAACATCTGAATATTTTATCCAAAATAATGACGTATATTTTAGAATTCTTTGGCCTCAAACACGCAACCTACTCATAGGCAATTATCTGAAAATGTGCAAATTAAATCTAACTTGCGTTTTGTTTAATAGGAGCAGACATCAGGTTTTCCAAAAGGTGAAAATCTCACCTCTCTCATCAGTAGAGAGTAAAACTCTTCCTTTAAATTCAAACATGTCAACAGAAATCTCTGCTCTTTAAGCTCCTGGTGGAGGCCAAACTCCTGCGGGTTTCCATTTATTTACAAGGATGACATTTGTTATTGCGCCAACCATCTTACTTTGGATATATTAGGTTTACGGCTGCAACAGAACACGTCAATTCTAATCTTACTGCACTTGGCTGCATGCTGCTATATATCAAGAGAGGGGCTCAGTGGGTGTTATACGCTCTGAAATGTTTCCATATTAGCTGGAGAATTAAAAAAAAAGAAAAAGGAAAACGTCTAATAATGATTACACACACACTGGGTCTTCTTAAATGCTCGTATTATACTACTGAAGCCGAGAGCGACATCAAAGCTGTCTGCAGTAAAGCATATTACACATCCGGGGCTGTTAAAGTTTGGAGAGTGTGTGCAGCGAGTGGCAACGAAAACAGCTAAAGGGATAAAACTTTATCATATTGTTTCATGCAGTCAATCCCTGACTGAAAATATGATACTATTATGCTGTTGCCCTTTATTTTTTACCATTATCATTAATTCTTTCATTTACTTTATTTATAAAGCATTATACAAACATGTAATAAGTGGTTTACAACAACACAGTGATGACGTTGTAAAACAGCTGTAAGGACATTTTAATTTTTTATTAATGTGCAGTATTTAGTCAATTGTAATATCTCCTGTGAAAATATATTTTATGTTATTATGAGATGCTTATACAGCAGCCTCCACTTATGGGTGCACACAGGAGGAGTTATAGTTGTTGACAAATACATAAATAAACACTTATATCTGCTTAAGGCCACAGTATAGTGTGTTATAAAGCATTTATTTAATGTTAATGCTCATAAGTCATAAATAGAGAAGACTTAAAGTAAAGTAATACTTTGTTTTTTTATGTTTTTGGAGCTTTTACATACACATTAATGCAGAGGCCACACTACTTGTCTACTGTGTTATCTTTTGATTGACCTCTGCAAAAGCCAGAAGAGATCACTCCTGTTATCCAGGAGCGAAGGTTGCTTATTTTCCAGTGAAGGCCAAACCCAGAACACGCAGTAAATGACCATGTTAACTTTAAAATTCATGTGAGAAAAAGACTAAAGTGGCAGTTGCACGTTTGTTTTGGTGACGGTGGCACTGAGCTGTGTTTGCTGTAATCCTTCCTGCCTGTGTGACTGACAGCCACAGGTTGGAGCAGCAGGTCTACCTTCAGTTTCTGTCCACTGCACCGGCCTCGCACGATCATCACAAAGCACATCAACATCGACGACGGTGGCGGCGGGCCTGCTTTCCCACTGATTCCCTTTATATGAGTTACACCTACTCACCTTTATAACCTCTTCACCTCTTTTTATTCTCCTTTTCATTTCACATGTCATCACATAATAGGGTTCAACAAATATGTGATTTTGGAGGCCAACACAGGTAGTTTTAGATTTATGACTGATGGTTTAGGCCAATATTCACATATCTTCAAATGTGGGTATTTCCAAGTCCGAATAAAAAGTTTCCAGTTGGATTTAATTCAATTCAGACTGGAAAAGCATCTGAAACAACATTTACACCATCATGGGACACAAAAATTCTTCACTGAGTCCAAACTAATGGCATTTATTTGAGGGTGAATAGCTCTTAAAGCTCCACGTGTTGAATGTTAGGGAAGACAAGCATACATGAAAAAAATGATCATTTTAAAATTGAAAGAATAAATGTTTAAAGAAAATAAAATTCAATAATTGTGTATAATCTGAGAAGTGGACAACATGACTGCATGACAACTTATATTTTCACAATAAAAGTCCAGCATGGGCCCAATATACAAATGTAATCCTATTTCACACTCAAACACACTCACACTTGTTCACACAATGCGAGATTTTGCCTCATATTGCACACAAGGGGAGAAGGCTTGCACTGACTGAAAACACCCACGCCACAGGCCATCACTGCTGCGAGACCAGCGACCAGGATTGGAAACACGTGCGTATTAATACCTGCTCAAGGCCCTGAGCAAATATATCGCCTCGGCTAACCTGCTAATAGCCTTAATTTGTAAGGTAAACAGTAGAAGAGTTTGACACTCACTCACCTAAGGTGCTTTTCCTCAGCTGCTCTGCCTCTGCTGCTGCTGCCTTCCTTCGGAGGCTTTGCAGGGACTGGTGGTGTGTGGGGGGGAAGGAGGGGGGCAACAGCGGCAAAAGTTACAGCCTGCCTCCGCCATGCTATCTGTTAAAGTAATTTTCTCTCAAAGAGGAATTAATTTCCTTTCTCAGGCGGCCCACAGCGCCTGTGGCACAGCCTGTGTCGTCCACCCGGATCCCCAGAGTGTGGAGTTATTGTGACTGTCCATCTGTGAAACCTGTCTGAGCCACGGAAACTCTGAAACAGCCATACAGTTTCATTTTGTTTTGTATATTATTTGATTTTAATCTGCACTGCATTTATACTATTGTCAGTATACAGTGTTATAGACAGTCTTATTGTTTTGAGTTTCAGGGATTTAGAGAGGACGGGCATATGTGTGTCAGGTGTTTATTCTTCCTTATTTTCTAATAAGATGTATCAAATATTTATTTACTATATCTGAATTATATTATCTATATCAATTATACAACTGTGTTTAATTGTGTAGACTAAAACCCGATTTTATGATTTTGTTTTATATATTGTTTGTTTTTGCATCAGAAGTTATATAAATGAGTTTGATCGCAAATATATTTATTTCTATTTGAGTCTTGGTAAAGATCCATACAATAAAAATAATAGTGATAATGATAATAAGAATAATTATAATTATAATAAGAGAGGAATAAAAGACTCCCAGCTGTTTACTGGCTACTTCACTACTGGAAATTAACACTTTTATCACCAAACTGATTTAGTGAGACACTGACGTGAGGACCGACAATATGAGACACGAGTATTTCATGTAATTTCAGGTTGTAGATGGTTGAAATATTTTGTCTTATATCAAACTCTGAGGATTTTCGGGATTTTTCCTCTGGTCACTCTCAACTCTGCAAGCTACAGATTATTTTCTGTCTGCATGTACTCATTTAAAACAGTGATAAAGGATTGAGTTGAAATCTAAAATAGTTCTTTTCAATTTGTAATATTGTTACAGTAATTATTAGTCATTTTAAAGTGGCCCAAATTTTTTATTTGATGCAATGTTTTTTAAATTAAAGCTGCTGACCTTTGCGACCTTGTATCAAAGGTAAAATTAGTACCTGTATTGATGTATTCATTGGTTTGATGATGCTTCATTTCAAAATAAGATACACATTGATCGGTTGTACTGAATTAAAATGGACTGTGGTTGATTTTAAAGATTACGAAATGTTGGCACTTATTTTAGACTAGATCCTGTTGCACTGCAAATGATGTTTTTTATTCTGTAATTATTATTTCTGAGTAAAACTTCTCATATTCCTTTTAAAGTAGCAGATAGAAGTACAGAGATTATCTGGAGCTCTTTACATCACAGGAGTACGAGACACAAGCAGACGACACCATGTGCAAAGGAAACTTTGAAGCAACAAGTTTCCTTGCCGACTGGCACAAGACTAACTGTGTTTAAAGGGGTCAAAACTGACAAAGACAGGGTGACATGCTGAGTTAACCCCTGACACCTCGCCCCCCGCCCCCCCATCTCTCCACACTCCCTCACCTCCCCTCCCTCTCTCCCCCCTCCCCCAGCCACACCCATGAACCATTAAGGCTGTTTTCTTGCAGGGAAAAAAGATGGCCACCGGAGGTCAGATCCAAGTCCAAAATAAATTGCCTTCTTTCCTGAGGCTCAGCCATTTTAATAGTACAGATTTATTGTGCTGTGCTTTTTGGAGGGTGATCATATGTATGTGGTCAGTAGCGCGTATGCAGTCTGTGACCCAGCCTCCCTCTCACGTTACACCCTATTTATAACATCCCCTCTGCCGGCTCCCCTCGTTCTGCAGTTCCTAGGAACCTCCTTCTGCTCCCAGACTCGAGCTCCAGTCCCAGTTCCTCCTGACATCTGAGAGGCTCTGCTGAAGCTTATCCTGGGCTAACTGTTTATCCTGTACAGCCTGGCAACTGGCCGCACGCTCCGGATTACCACAGGACACCCATTTCAAAACACACTTTGCTTTCTGCTGTGACTATTTGAATTGAAGGAAAAAGTTTTTGGGTTTGTCAAGGGGAAAAGAGAAGCATCTTGGATATGTGCTTGTGATCTTTTTTGTTTTTGGTTGATTTAGTAACGTTACCCTTTTTCACTTGCCCTTCTCACCTTTCCTGGAGGGCCGTGTGTGTTTGCATGCGATGGATCACACACTGTTCGGCTGTCTGCGGAGCCCCCACGCCCCGGCGCAGGCCCTGCATCCCGCCTTCACCCAGTCTCCCCTGACTCTGCACGGACGCTCGGACCACGTCTCCTACCCCGACCTGGCCTCCTCATCCTCCTCTTCCTCCACCTCCTCACCAGCACCGTGTATCATCTCCAGCTACCCGGCCGATGACGGCCTGTTTCCCGGGCAGCACCACCACCACCCCCACCGCGGCCACCTGCCCTCCCAGCAGCATCATCACCCACCTCAGCACCACGCATCTTGGCATATCCCACAGATGCCTTCGCCTGGTGGTGCCGCACGCCACAACCTTTGCCACCCGCACTCCCACTCATCCCACGACAGTGGGCCCACACCCCCAGACCTGGGTCATCCTGGTGGGCCCAGTATGTGTGCCAGCACCCCCAGTCTGGGCAGTGGCAGTACCCCTACAGGGGCCTCCTGTGTGCCTGCAGACTTTGGCAGACAGACTCTGTCACCTGCTGAGGCTGAGAAGAGGAACAGCAAGAGGAAAAGCGACAGTTCAGGTAAGAACTTAAACTTCAAGGTTTAAGCTGAGAGTGAAAAACTGGAACAATCCTAATGGCAGAGATTTTATTCCTTTGCAAATCTGATTCATAAATAAGCTGCTTTGGACAGAAATCAAAACCAAAGCCTTAATGTTAAATTCTTTTGAGGCGTTCCCAGCACGTCTTTGTTCAGACTTTTTGTTAGATAAACATCATCACATAAATATCAGTGTTATAAGAAATTCCAAGCAGAGCTGAAGAATAACACAAACATCTGTACTTGTCATTCTAAATCTTTCAACAGCACATAACTGCAGAGATTCTGCTGCTCTGATAGAAAAACAAAAAACTGTCTGAAAAGCAGTTTGTAGGTGTTGGCTGACACGCAGCGAGGGTGTTGCAGCAGGCAGACTGAAGCGTGGAGCAAAGGCCACATCATAACTGTGTGGGCACATCTGACTGCTGCCATGTTTTGTTTAAAAATCACATCTGGTTTGTTGCGATATTCTTCAGAGGGCAGAAAATGAGGCACACAGTAAAGAATTAATGTCATGGATTGTAAAAGACTACACCGGCGCCTCGTGCCGCACTAAACACCCGACAGACCGAAGGCTTTCAGGCTTTCTGCTCGTCTAAATCTTGTGGTTAAAATAAATCACTCAGGTTTACTGAAGTAAATGAAAGTGTGTCACATTTGACTAAATCAGTGCTAAGTTCAAAGGCACTGATTGCATAGGCCATTTTCAAGTGTATGTATCTTGATATAGTGCTACATGAATTTATCTTATTTAATTCAACATGAAAGAAAAATTAATAAATCAGATATTTTCTGGTTCTTTTTTTTCATGGGTTATAAATTATTTCACTATCCTAAGTAAAATATTCCAGCACATTCCTCTGAAAAGAGCTTAAAAGAGAGTCAGAGAGATTTATTACACAGGTTTACTTTCATATATTCAACAGACGGAGTGTATGTTCTCTACAGTGACGTGCACCTGCACTGTGAACTTCAAGGTCCCTCTTTTTGTTGTTAAGGAATCTGTGATTTTGTAAAAAATTGTGACTTGGCACCTTCAGGCAGCTGCAGGTGTCCTGACCTTAATCTTTATAATCCCTGGCCAGTTTCTAACCATAAATAAAGCAGCTGTTTTTAAGATTTTATATTCTCCTTAAAGAGGGACAGACACAGAATTATATAAGCTGTATATTAATGATAATATATAAAACACAAAGAGGTTCAAAAATGAAAAAATCCCTCTTCTAGGACTGTAGTCAAATAGGTAACACCTCCCTGATGACCTGCAGAACATTTCCAACCTGCAGTCACCACAATAATCAATCACGGCATGACAAACTGCCGGGGCCGGGTCGCGGGAGTTCTCGCAGGGAACGTGATATTAGTGAGAGTTCTTAGTTTTCCAGGGAAAGTGTGCTCGGTGTTCTCTCTCTATCCATTTGAGGATTGCCGGGCCCTCAGCGCTGATCTTGCAGCCTTTTAAAGGCCTCTTTGTATGCACAGCGAATCACTTGCATTTTAACCACTGACTGATATAACTGCGTGTGAATAGTTCTTCGCTCAGGATGCTGCTGATCATCTCGGGTAGTGTGTGTTCCCTCCCCTGCTGCAGTTTGCACAACTCAAATGTGCAAAAATAATAAGAGGGCTAATTCTTAACTGACTGTAATGGATAGGGAATATAACTGCACTGGAAACATTTATTTGTAATAATACCAAATGCTAGAGAGAGCTCCTCATTACTCACTGATTTAACAGGAACTCCAGATGTTATGTGCTGAAAAATCAGAAAAGAATCATGCAATATGAAATATGCCAACACTATCAGAGCTTTTCAAGAGGCTGGAAGGCTTAATCTTCAATCGTACAGTTCTGTTTGTACTAAATGTCCCGTTGTCCACACGCAAAATGCCGCAATAGTATATCTAATTCACAAATTCAACACACCAACTCCTATTTCCTTTCCTCCTTTGTCAAATTATTTGGAAAACCTCGGCCTCAGCCTCCAAATCCCTCGTCCCCTGTAACAATAGTTACTGCATACTCATTACATGTGCTGTACATTCTCTCCACGCTAACACCAATCATGCTGATTATTAGGGGGGCTAGCTAGGTTGCTGACTCAATCAGCTGTCTAAATATCACACTGCTGCCAGTTGCATGAGATAGAGCCCTGATTGGGTTTCACCATCTGGACCAGAAACTTAAGCAAAACCTGAATTTAGATACAGAAACAATAACAAAACCTGAGAGCTCATTTCCATGCTTAGGTTTACCCCCCACCCCCACCCCTTTTCTTTTTTCTTTTTTTTTTGCTCAAATATGAAGCATCTCAACTTTCTGTGTCTAATGCTCAGTTGTGATTGTTTCCTCAAGGAAGGCCACAAGGTGGGCTAATGAGATGAGCCACCTCCTTGGTATTTTCGGGTGTCTGGTTTCTGGGGGAACCTGTTCATTTTCTTGTGGGCAAGTGTTTTTAAGCCCTGCAGAGTGTCTGTCCGCTGAGCTCCTGGGTTATATTTGCATAGACCAGCGCTGTCAAGGGAGTGGTCGTCCTTTAAAAAGTTACTAGATTTTCTGTGTGGAACAATAAAAGGTGCCTGAAGTCTTATTTTGTTGAGGCAGTGTTGTAAAAAGGAAGCGTGAGGTGCTGAAAGCTTCTTGCTGGCGGCAAGTTTTAGAAAAAAACATTGGGGATGTGCTGATGCATTTAATTTCATTCTTCACCAGAAAATCAGCAGAGATTTGACTGTCCGTTCTTGCTGTCGAGAGGGTCCCTCCTGCACCGAGCCCAGTTCATCTGGGAACCCTAAACGACGTGCCCCGTCTGGGTGCATGTATTTTTCTCATATTATTCCTCCTTTTTTGTGGAGAGATGAAAGTTACAGCGGGGACCTAATTGCTGTGGTGTAGTGGCTGTGTCATAAAAGCCTGCCGCTCGTTTTAACTCCAGGGCTGCTGGTCTGAGAGCAGCTGGCTGTGTTATTCTTTTATTTCTCTTTACACAGTGTCTGTGTTTACCAGAGAGAGAGCGGGTAAATACGTCCGAGGGCCGCTTCAATCAGCCACACACTGTTTGGAATCGCTCGGTTTGAAATTACAGGGAGAGAGAGGCAAGGTCAAGGGGGGAGCCGGACACAGGCTGCGGGTCAAGCAATGATCTGTTTCATTTCATAAAATTCGTGTGGGAATTCTTGCAGTTTATATATCTGTTTTGTTTGTCCTTGGCTCTAAAACTGTGTGAGTGCCATTCAAATATAACTTTTGTAGAGCAGTTTCAGTTTACCCTCATCTTCTCCTCAGCCTCTCAAGGGAGTTATTTGGTCTGAAAAAAAACACACACACTTAATTAGAAGGAAGATCCTCTTTCTGGCAGAAAAACAGAACCAACAGGGGTCCCTCCGGAGAGACAGCTTAGGTGAAGAGATAGTTTCTCCTCCTCTGACGTGGCTGCAGAAACTTCGCACTGCAGGACTATTTACAGTTTGGCTTGACACAGGCCTGCAGCATTAACACACTCTACAGAACAGGACCGCAGATGAATTTGCATGCAATCGCTGCTGCCTCCGAGTGCAATGTGCAACTGAAGCGTGCCCAACAGCGAAACCACGAAGGGCTGCTCACAATAGGAAAGTTTTGGAGGGTAAATTAACCATGCGTGTTTTCTACGGAAAGTTTTCTTCGGAAAAGCCAAAACAAAAAGTATTTTCCGGGGTGATGAGCTGAAGTGGAGATGACACATTCTGGGGATTTTTATTTATATATATATATATTTATATATATATATAAATATATATTTATATTTATATTTATATCTCCCACATTTTTCTTTAGGAAACGCATTAAATTTGTATTTGTTGCTCACACGTGTATTCTTTTATATTTTTTTATTTTCATTAGAGGGAAATACACTATTACATTTCCACAGCATGCTTTCTATTAACGTTTTATGTTACACATGCATAATGTTTTGCTATGCTATTTTTTTTCTTTCTTTTTTTTTTTTTTTTTAGAAATGTTCATCTCATGACCACAGGAATTATTGTTTTGCTGAAAAAGAAAAGAAAAAAATTGTTGTAGTGGTACTTCGGTAGGTTTTACCACCAAAGGAGGAGTTTTTAAATAAGAAAGAAATATGTATCCTGCAAAGCTGCTTTGTTTCATATTTAAAAAACATGGCTGTAGAAGCAGATTCCTTTAAGACAAAGACAAATTAAATCCATGTTGGCAGTGTAAAAGCCAGCTTATTGTAACAGCACAGCTGCCACAGTCAGACACACATGTGCAGCCGCCCGTGAGTCTTTCCAGCCACTTAAAGTGTTCATAAACAATGACTGAACAATAAAGTGTGATTGACAGCTCCCATTGTTTCCCTTACCTTGCCTCTTTTCTTCCCCCTGCTGACTCGCACCTGCCACATAAGATTGGCTTTATTTTTATTTTTGTTGCATATAAATCTGCCCTGAGTGGAACAGAAACCTGTGTGGTGTTTGGTTTCAGAGTCCCAGGACGGGAATTACAAGTCAGACGTGAGCAGCAAGCCCAGGAAGGAGAGGACGGCGTTCACCAAGGAGCAGATCCGAGAACTGGAGGCCGAGTTCGCCCACCACAACTACCTAACCAGACTAAGGCGCTACGAGATCGCCGTCAATCTCGACCTCACTGAAAGACAAGTATGTGCCTACCCACAGCTGCTGGTTTCCCCTTAGGTTCAGATATTATTGAACCCCCCCACATTAGCACATTAATGCCATGTTGTGAAAACAGAGGTGGCCCCGGGACAGCGACGAGGCTTTTCAGCTCGCTACTGTGTTTTTGTAACTTTGGTGCGAGGGGCTATTGTGCTCCAGATGTGGTTGTGTGACGGGACTATCATATTCCAGATGTTCCTGTCTATTCTTTCAGGCGGGCCACAGTCAAGACAGGGAGACGGGCTGAAGGAAGTGCTGTCTAGCAAGCCACTTCCTCTCTCCCACTGCCCCTGCAAACCCAGATTGGTCTCAGAGCGTGGGCCGCGTTGCTGTAAAAATGCAGGCACATGAAATAAATAACAGGAGACAAATGGTTGGGGGAAGGAAACGGCGTTCAGCCTGTTGTTCTCTGACACCCGTTTGGAAGCTGTAAGTCACACTTAGTTGACACCTTGCCAGTGATATTTTACAGCGTGATAGACTGAATGTGAAGGACAGACTGGGGCGTTTCAGGTGATACTTCACAACTTAAGATCCTGAGGATATACAATGTGTGAACCTCATAGATCAAGTGTTTGTAAAGATTTATTTATCTTATGTCACACTACATTAAAAATTATTAATAATTGCATTAACCAAGTTAAAAAAAAACTACAAAACTTGCTGATGAACTCACATGAATCCTCTACTGTAGTAGACCTTTCTCCATGTCAACATTTTAATTCGTATAACTAACAACAACAGCAATGGCTGCATTCCATTTAGCTTCTAGACCCTGCTCTTTTTATTGTGCATGCTGCTTCAATGGCACAGATTACTGGGACACCTAAATGGAACGGAGCCATTATTGATGTTATTGGTTACACATGCTTTTCCTTAATAAAATGTCAGCCTGTGAGAAAGCTGGTCTATAGGCAAGGCAGGTTTATTTGTATAGTCGACAGCAAGGCAATTTAAAGTGCTTTATATAAGTTAAAACAAGATGAGATATACAAGAAACACGAGACAAAAGAAACAGACATCATAGGAATTAAAAGAGTAGCATAAAAAGCACAAGATATGAATAAATAGTCCCAACTTTAATTTAATAAAGGCAGTGATCAAAAGAAAAATCAAAACTGTTGATTTAAATGAACCGAGAGTTGGCACAAACCTGAAGTTTATAGACTTTGAATGTCTTTATAACCATCACTGCTTCCCTTCAGTAAATGCATTCAGCACATAGTCCCAGTAGACTATCGATCCGTTTTGCTGCGGCCCAGTGAGCTGAAAACATCAGTAGTGCTGTCAGGGTTTGGGGTTTAGTTCCCCGCTCTAAAAATACACAGAATACACTCGTGGTTCTGTGTGAGGGGTGTCGGATAAAAACGTCACAAAAAGGAATCTCCCAGTGAATGAAATTGTCTGCAGGTGTGTTTTAATGGCCTCTCCAAGTAAAGTGAGTTGTAAACCTGCTCAGTCACATTTAAGATCTGACTCATCAATCCGAAAAGCAACTGGAAACTGTGACATGAAAAGTGATATCAGACTGTGTAAGTGATCATCTGCTTTTGCTTAATATTACAAAACTTAAAAAAAAAACTTTGAAGGAATATGTCTAAATACCAGCACGTCAGGCAAAGCTCCATTTAACTCCACAGGGCCACCGAGCACAGAGAGCCACCATAATTCCACTTCAGCTTTCTCCCAGACCGTTGCAATTAATCTTTTTGTGGCTCGAAGCAGCATTAAATGTGCATGAAATTTCTGCAGCTCATGCAGCACAAGTTGTGTGTGACCTCAGCTTTGTCGGGGGGAAATTATACAGCAGGAGATAGTGAGGTAAATATTGGCATTACAATCAGTTGGCCACGGCGTTTGATTTATGCTGCATGAGCTGTTTGGAGAAGTTTGATGGATGTTCTATGCTGTGAAAACTGGAGTATTTTCAAAGATGGCAGAGGTGGAGCTACAGGGGCCTAGGCTGCTGTAGGTTGAGAGTTTAAACCAGAATAGGAAAGAAAAAGTAAAGACTTCAAGATGTAAGTTTTGGATTGAAATATCACCAGTGCGCAAACATTTTTATTTGTGTAAATAACTAAATCAAAACCAAAAAATTTAGTTGTAAAGTGAATGTTGTGTTAGACCTGTAAGTTACATATAACTATTGTTTTAACAGCATTTAAAGGACTAAATCTCAGAGTGAAGTGGGTAGTAATTACACGCTGAAGTGTAGACACTGAAATGCTGATAAAACAACTGCTGTGACTAACCTAGATGTCATCTTTCAGCTAAATTTAGCTCAGTTTTAAGCTAGCTGTCTAGCTGTGATTAAAGGTTGCAAACCAAATCACACCAGTCCAGTGCTTGCTGTGTTTTAATCATGTATTTCATTATCAGCATTGTGTTTTTTGGTCTGTTTCATGGTGTAAAAGTGAAGACGTTGAGCGTCCTGTTAATGCTAATGGATGCTTAAACGAACTATCGAGGGTTAAAATGGACGTAGAGGTCAGGACTATGGTGTGATGTGTTGTGAGTGTGCGAGAGCGTGTGTGTGCACGTAAGCCTTGAGGATCACATGTTTGGTTTGACATTAGAGCCTGGCATAAATAAGCGATCCCTTGCTGGAGTCCTCTCTCACCCCCCACCACCCCCTCCCCGTCCCCCCTCCTGCTCTCAGAAAAGGCCCAGAGGCTTGTGAAGAATCCGAAGCGATACTCAGCACGGCGTACGCCCCTGACGTGTAAGACAAACGTTTGTGCTGTCAACTAACTTCCTCACCATGTGACCACTCGGTCCCCTCGGAATGACACTCCCCAAAAATAAACCCACCCCCACCCTGTGCGCCACCCCCCACCCAATCCCTCCCTCCTCCTCCTCCCCCTCCACTCAGGCGCATGTGTCGACACTCAGGGAGCCTCTGCTGCTACTTGACGTGCAAACCGTTTTAAGCAACAGCTTAATCATCAATCTGAGAGACGTAAATACGGTTGAGGCTGTTGAGTCAGGGAAAAACAGGTAGACGCCAAGTGGCAGATGGAACAGTACATGCACACATAATTGCTGCAGTAGAAATAGCTGCCAAACTTTTGGAGAAAGTTGCTGTCAAGCTGTAAAGCTTCCTAATTGCTTCTTGATTATTTTTTTGTGACAGTTTGCTCTCTGCTTAAGAGCAATGCTTTTGACACTTTCTGTCTACTTCACCACGTAGGTGAAGGTGTGGTTCCAGAACCGGAGGATGAAGTGGAAAAGGGTGAAGGGCGGCCAGCAGGGGGCAGCAGCTCGGGAGAAAGAACTGGTGAACGTGAAAAAGGGGACTTTGCTGCCGTCAGAGTTCTCTGGCATCGCAGCGCTCCACCACTCGACGGACTCCTTAGCCAACGAGGACAGTCACGACAGCGACCAGAGCTCCGAGCACGCTCACTTATGATGCACACACACACCCGCCCCCTCCCCCCCCCTCACTCCACCCCACCGCCCCCCCGCCTCCCCCCTCCGAGACAGGCCCTGCCTCTGCCTCAGGACTGTCCTTAGAAGGACTGCTGTTTGCTGATTCGCCATCGTCATACAACGATGCTAAATAAGTGTACAAATGTACAGTGGAATGATGTGTGTTAGAGAATACAGTCATCATGCAGGCAAAATGTATATTTCAAGAACTGAGCACATAAAGCAAGATGGTGAAATATTTCAAAATGCCATTGGTTAAAAATTTCCTTCCTTCCTTATAAGTGCCAAAAAAAAAAGAATATTATAAATATTGAAATGTGACGTTTTGGCTACAGAAATTTACATTTTGGAAATCATATTTAGTCAAACTGTTGTAAACATTCCATGTTGTGTGCCTTGAGAGAAGCAGGCTGCGGCTTTGATTTGCACTGTTGAACATACAGTCTGCGCCTCAATCAGTTTCTACTGTATAAAATGTAAATTACAATGTAATTGAGTTATTGATCAAATCAAGTGCCAGGAGGTCAAATTTGCCTAGCTAATATAAATGATCTGTAAATATTCCTCAGTATTGTCTTACCTTAACAATAATTTTATACCCACACTATTCAGCTCATGCAGTAATAAACACTGACAGTTCTTTAGTTTTCTGCCTGGTGATGACATTTTGTAAACAAATCTGAAACCTGAAAGAAGCATTTTATTAAATCTTTTTTCAGGGACAGTTGCAAATTGAATAAAATTTAACCAGTGGTAAATGGAATTTCTTATGATTTCATGTCTTTCCATCTGTGCATCCATTCATCCAGATGAATCCAGGCTGCTGTATTTGTGTTTCATGAAGTGAGGCTGAGATGAATTAAACATTGCACAGAGTGTAGAAAGCTGGTGATGGGGGCGCATGCTAAATTCACCTTTGCCTCGGGGTAAGGTCAGGATTCCTGCCAAGACTCAGAGAGAGAGAGAACCCGCAAAGGATCGTATTCTGTTACAAAATCCAGTTGAAAATAATTTCATGACTTGATCTCGTCTTTCACCACATTATGATTGTGCATTCTAATTTGTTTGAGGAGGCACCTCACACGGCATGTGAGGTTTGTCCTTTTTTTTTTTCTTCTTTCCCCCGAAGCAATCCACGGGATGAATGGGATCCATATTTTAAACACTGCAACTGCAGTTCAGTGAAAACTATGGAAGACATTCACCTCTTCTTTTTCCACTGGGCCTCAATAAACTAACTTAAACACAGTATAAACTTATAAGTATAAGTCAAAACACACTCGCCTCTAAATACAATCTTCACCTGCAGCGGCCAGCTGAAAAAAACAAAAAAAATTAGGCACGTTTGGCTTAAAACCGTCAATATGTGCATTTAAATTACCGCTCTGTGATCATAAGACGAGCAAGCACAATTAGGGGAATCCACTAATTTTTGTATCTTCTCCTGATAGTAAGTGACAGTCTATGGAAGCACCGCACTAATGTTAAATGATGTTTTGCCCATTTGATCATTAGGGAGTTATCAGGCTCTGCATTCATAAATCTACTGGGCCCTGTAACAGGTGACACTATCGTCTAACCTGATGTGATGTACCTTCAAACTGTCCTTGAATCCCACCTGCACCCAGGTGAAGAGCAGATACTCAGCTGTATAACCAGGCCTTATATCTAAGTGTGTCAAAGGATGAACCCTCTGCAAGCTAAGGGCTGGTTTACACTGGACAAGAAGTGGCTTATATAATGTGCTGACCACGTAGGAAATGTAAAGTGTTTTTACCTGACTGCCACGCTCACAAGCAGTTTTACCATCCAGTCTTTAAGGGTATAACTGAAGTAAACTTGTCTGATCGGTAGATTTGTGATATTTAAGCTAAGAAAATGTGTTATGTTTTTATCAATAACTTTGAAAAATATCCTTGTTGCTGCTTAATAACACGACCTTTAGTCATTCCTGTATCTAAAGAGTTAAAAAAAGTGTCCTCAGCCTGTACAAAACTTTTTCCCTTTATTGTTATTCGTCTTTCCTTCTCCCCTCAGTTACTTTTCCATCTGGTCTGACAAACCTGATCTGATTATGGGTTTCTCTAAACTCTTCTTTGCTGTGAGTACCAGGTCTGTGGCTTTCATTGAGGACACACAGTTAATGTCCTCTGTATATTTTCTGGGAATTTTATCAATCTGAGGGGAGTTTACCCACTACAACTAAAAACTTCCACATGGTGGATATTTTAGAAGCTAATCTCTGTATTTTTTTAAGACTAATATGAAAGTAACAATTTTACATTTTGGAAAATACTCTAATTCACTTTCTGGCGGTGAGTAGATAAGAAGACTGATAAAACTTTCATATATGTCTCTTAAATATAAGGCAGCGGGCAGCGGTCGATTAGCTTAGCTTAGCACATAGACTGGAAACAGTGGTAACAGTCAGCTCTGTTACAAAATCCACCTGCACAAAAGCAGAACAATAATTTGCAAACAATTAAGCGCCTCAATGTAATAATGTATCTTAGTTTACCGCAAGTTTAAAGGAGCTATTTGTAAGTTTTACTCTTGCTACATAGCTAATGTTAGCATCAACAGCTGTTTACTTACCAGTCTTGCCAAGGGCTTCAGCCATTGTTGTGCTTATAATACAAGAGGTTATAATGCGTTCTCTGAGCAGCCTGGAGGCTAGAGTGACGAGATTTGGGGAAGTGACAAGATTTGGCCGACCGGGCTGGGGCTAGCTTGTTAGCATGCTAACTTTATTAGAGGAAAAGAAGTGATAGAAATATAAGCAAAACAAGAGGTTTGCTGTTAACCACTGGAGGCAGCTGTTGTTGAGTAAACGACTGAAGTTTGTTCGTAACATTTCTTATAGTCTGGTAAGTAAGCGACCGTTAAAGCTAACGTTACTTATGTAGCGATAGCATAACTTAAACTAGAAGTGCTCAACTGTTAAACTCTTCAAGTGCCAGCTATATATTGAGGAATGAAGGTTCATATTATAATATTGTTGGAAACAAAAATATGCACAGACATTTGAACTTTATTTTTGGTTAAAATGAGAAAAAAAAAACTTGAGGAGGGAAAGGGGGCGGGGAACTTTTTGTTTTTACTTCCGGCCCTGTTGAGTATCAATGCTTCAAGCACCTTTTACATCCAAACCCTTTTTTTTTTTTTAAAAAAGAAATAACACCAGTCAAACAAAGTCTGACCATGCATGACCACGAAGAAAACTCTATTACATAACCACAAACTCTCGCGAGATAAAGCCACTCGGAACGCGACACCTGGAAGTGCCCTGGCCGGTGCTGACCAAAGGTAAATTCGCCTCCTATAAAAGAAGCGGGATTAGAAGGTAAATGGTCGCAGTAACTGAATCCTGCAGCCGCTTTAAAGCGACACGGACTCGGTTTCCTGTGTGTGAGAAGTTTGCTCCTGAGCTGACACACTCTCCGTTTCGCAACTGACCTACTTAAACTCGAGACAGACAAAAACACGGCTGTGAAACGGTGGAAAGAGGAGACCGGGTTCGTGTAGGAGCTGAGCCTTCAGTGTGTGAACACCTGCACAGGTAACAGAAGCTCACGCTGGAGCACAGCCGGGGACTGGCTATGGCTGAAGCGGCGGTGCCCGGTTCGGTGTCCAGGGGGGTCCGGGCCATGTTTTTGATGCTCACACCGAATGAGTCATCCTTTGAGAAAGTGGAGGATGTTCCTCAGTATGTGCAGCAGGTGGGTATCACATCGCTCTCACTCACTTCTAATAAATGTGATGATTTGTTGTGCAAATGTCAAACGAGTCCTCCCTCTCTTCCCTCAGGCGACCTTTACTGTGATTTACTGTAGTAGAAGAAATCAAAGCGTTTTTCTTTTCTTTTTATTTTATTTATTTATTTATTTTATTGGAATGGATTCAGCAAAAGACGGCCACTTTTTTTTTTGGCAAATATCCCAAGTTACCACAACAAATATTCACTCACCAGTTGTGTTTTGGTGAAAGATAAAGCCTCTCTTAACAAGTTCATGTATGGTTTTGAAGAGAATTGATTTCTGTTTAAAAGCTATAGACTGAAACCCACAAACGCCCCTCACCCCAGCCCCTTTCTTTTTCTGTCTTTATTCAGGGTTAGTGGGACAACCGGTCTGTTAAAGGGACAAAGACCAACACATCAGCTCTGTTACATAATTCAATATATCTGCATAAAACACAAAAGTTGTTTTAAAAGTGCAATTGTGTTTTTTCAAATATAGATCAAGCTCCTCACATGCAGATTTTTTGGCAAGCAATTTGAATATGTATTAATTACATGGCAGTAGACTAACCCGTATGACTAAAGGCTTATTTTAAAATCAGTTGTAGGTTTACACACTTCTCTGCTGGACTGAAGAAACTTATCCAAACTTTTTCCCTTCCCCAAACTTTCTCTAAAGCCAAAAACAGGCTTCTTTTTTTCTTTTTTTTTTCCAGGAGCAGCCATATTTTATAATCTTATATTATGTTAACCTGCTAAGTTAGTTAGGTTAAGATTTATTTGTTCAGTCTTGCTGAGATAAAGATAATCGTTGTGCAAATGAGACCCGAGAGAGCAGGTTACAAACTGTATGCCAAAGACAAATCAGTCACATGACACAGTCTTCTCACACACAGACACAAAACAAACACGAAGCGAGTTTAAAGAAAAAAACTGCAAGAATCTAAAACTTCCAGAGGAATGTGAGTCACTAACTTCAGTTCATCTTAGTAGTAAGTGAATACAGGAACAAACTGAGACCAGTTTCTCAGGGAAGAGACAAGGAAGTTTTTGAGTGGACCTGTTTGGTGATTTATTATTTTGTAATTAAAGTAAAACTGCTAATTATCTCACCAGCTTAGACAGTAAGGCTGTATAAATGTGGCTGCTACTCGGCTCATTTATCTTTCTCTACAAGTTTCAGATATGAAATGACACTTTTTGATACTGTAATCAGGAATTTCAACACACTTTCTTGTAAGAGTAAATAACGTGCAGATGTAAAATGACGTCCAAACACAAGCACCGGTGCAATAACTTATCCTGAGGTAAAGGGTTTACACAGTCTGAACAAACTTACCAGTTTGACTAGAGCTGTAACAGGCAGTAGAATAATCATCTACATAAAATTTATAAGCATTTTTTTTTTTGATAAGTGATCAGTTGTTTTAGTCATTTTTTGTCAGCATATTCCTGATGAAGGCTCCAGCTGTGAAATGTGCGGATGTGATGCTTTTCTTTGTCATACTGCACATTATATAAAACACAGGCAGTTTTAACACCGATCGATTAATAGAGAAAATAACAAGCAGATTAATGTTCAACCCCCAGCCTCACTTCTAAATGAAAACACAGTTACACTGGTGCTTGTATCTTGTCCTATAACTAAAGTCATGAAATACATGCAGTGAGGAGAAGAAGGCCTTGGAACTTAAGTAAATCTACATAATCACTTAAGTTAAAGAAGTCAGGGGTTTCTCCTGCTTCTCACTGTCAGTTTACGGTGTCTCGTTTGTCTTTTATTATGGCGAATGTCTGGTGCAGGTTTTAACAGCACATGTTTGTTATGAGGTTTTATGGGGCACATCAGGGGAGGAGAACAATTACCCCCACAGCAGGAGTCCTTATAATCCACTACCAAACATGATTAAACAAATTTGTTATTGCTGCAGGGCTTGGTGGTGATAAAAGTTAGCATGGGTGGGTGTGTGTGTGCGTGTGTGTGTGCGTGTGTGTGTGTGTGTGTGTGTGAGAGAGAGAGAGAGGAGTTTGTGACTCAGCACTGTTTACAGTTTGCGTCATTAATTATTCTGCACAACCGTTGTTCTCTGATCCCAACAGGCCAAATTAATTAGAAAAAAAACAAAACACAATCTTCTAATTTTGGAGTTGTTTGGAGTTATGACTTTGCGGGTTGTTTCCAGGTCTCTCAGCTTTTTTCGGTGTATTGAATGCAAACACAATATTACTCAGACAGCTGTGATAAAAGTGTATTGTCAGTCTACATGTTTTTGGCCAACATCAGTCATCCGCAACCTTATAAAAAACAAAAAAAAAAAAGGCTGTTTGGGGGAAATACAGACATCTGGTCCACAAATGTCATGCTGCATGTAAGGTTGAATTCAGAAGAAAATAAAATAAAATTATTAGACGCCACAACAAACAGTCCACACAAGCTCAAGTATGCTGCAGTATAAAATAGGCTTCCCTTAGTGTGATTTTTAGTTTATTTGTACAAAGATTAAAACGCAGGGAAAGACATTTCATTGCATGCAAGATCAAAAAGAGAGACAGAGAAAACAACATTTAAAGAAAGGAAAAATGGAAACAGTGATGGAAAAGGTCACAGACGCATGTCACAAAGAAGAAGAAAAAAAACCAATAACAAACACAAGCTTTTCCCCCTCATCGTCTACAACATGAGAGTGAGCTCGCACTGCTGTATAATTTTGTCCCGAGCTGTCAAGAAGCTGCGGAGGTAAAACTATCTGCTGGACAGGAGAGGGAAAAAAAGGAGGGGAGGTCTTAGGCCGGCGTCCAGGAAGATAATCTGTCTCTCAGCGGGTTTGGAGGAGGTCTGCCTGCGCTGCGAGCCCATTTGTTAGCTGCAGCTCCGCAGTCGGCTGCCAGATGTTGGAGCGTTGCGTGTGATCGCATGTCCCTGTTGGTGCTCTCGCCTCTGCCTGCGCACACACACACACACACACACTCACACACACTCACATCACACACCTGCATGTTAAAGTGGAAGCATTCACATGTGGATATGCACACGTGTGCATGCACAGTCACTCTCACTTCCATCCACTCATGAATACACACACACACACACACACACACACACTTCCTCCCACCCCACCTGCAGATGTGCTCCTCTGCAGTGTCGTCACGCCCTCGCTCCTGGCGGCGGCCATGTGTCCCAGTTACTTGCAGCAACTTGGTCAATGAGCGCCTTCGAGCTAAAGCTAACCAGCGAGGCTGACACGCTGTTGAAGTCGCAGTCGTGACCTGTTTGCTAACCCTGTCCCTCACTAATTTGTTCCATGTTTGACAGACCCATTAAGAGGTTATTACGTGTTTCCAGCTCAGTTAGAAATAGAGGCCTGTCACTGACTGTTCGGTTTGCGCTCACCATTTGTTTTGTCACAACTAGTTACTGAATGTCGTCCATTTAAAAAAAAAAAACAACATATTTTCATTTCAATTTTTGTTTTGTTTGTTACTAATTAAAATGAATTGTCTTTGTGGATCAAACATTTTTCAGCCATATTGCTGCAGCATGTGTTTATAGTTTGTAATGCAGAATAATCTGCAGCAAGTTATTTTTTATAAAGACTGATTCATTTAACTTGACGTATTATAGTGTGAAAAACAAATTGAAGCAAGTGAAGTTTTCATTTCTTCTTTATTGTTGTACCCACTTTAAAAAACTGTAGATTTGCACCTTTAATCTTCACATTTTCACATGGAGTTGGATGAAATGGGCTGATTTATGTTGGGAGGGGAGCAGGGTCCCAGAAGTAAAAGTCTTCTTTTACTTCAAGCTTTCCAAGGCTTGGATGGACATGAAAACCCCCCTGAAACTCTCAGTACAAAATATGAGCAACTAGAAAATGTCTTGTGCTTTCATATAAAGTCAAAGGTAAAAGCCTGCGCACATAAAAATGTATATAGAGAAGTTAGCTACGACTCCCAAGGTACATTTCAGTAAGAATCCCTCTGTTGTCTCCACACTATCAGCAACAACAGGCTCAATGAATTCAACGTGCCGCAGCGTTTTGTTCCTAAATTCAGTGACAAAATGTTCTGAATGTGGCTCAGCACTGATTGAAATTATAGTTCATGTTAAGGTCTCATTTTTTATTCACTTGTTTCGAAATAGGGATTCAGAATGGGGATGAAATCTTTGGAGCCAAAGAGCTTCACCCGTCTGGAGCGAAGGTTTGGTAACTAACTTGTGCAGCAGAAAAGGATCTCTGGGTAAAATGTAAATGAAGAATATAATTAACAATGACTTAAATATTGTATTCTTAGACTTAACTAGTCATGAAAGGCCTGCTAGCATGCTTCCCGTACCTGCTAGCTGCACGTCATTATGGATTTTCTGGTGGTTACTTACCCAGATTGCAAAATAAATCCGGCCCATACTTGGGCCACATGCTACTTTTCTTCTGGCCCAGTATACGCCCGGTTCCACGGCCCGAATCTGGCCCATATATATATATATGACGATTGTCAGATGCTACTTTCACATCTGGACCAATTCTGGTGAACAATACTGGAGGATAACAGCTGGAATCTGCCAGACTTAAGCCTTGCTATCTGGGTAGCTAACGGCTAACGAGCTTGATGTTACCTAGATGCCTCTTTGTATTTTGTCAGTTTATTAGTTTCACAATATGACCATCTCTTGCTCCTTGTTTTGTTTTTCTTGGCGTCCACCGGACATCGCTATAAAATGAAAATGTGTGTTTTGTTATCCCTGATGTTTAACTGAACCAGTGAGATCATTTCTGCCTCCAGTGCAGCGCCGCTCAGACAAATGTTTGTGATCTCCGATCTGCCAATACATTGTGGCTTTAGACCCGCTGCTCCGGCCTCGCACAGTGAAACAAACATCATGGATCACCAGACATGAAAGTCCCGCGAGCGTTAAGCTCATCAGCCAAAACAAATAGTCGAGCTCGACACAACTGGTAAAAGCAACAGTGGACTTGAAACTGTCTTGTTTTCACAGTATGTAACAGTGCTGAGTCATGATTCCCTCTGTGTGTGTGTGTGTGTGTGTGTGTGTGTGTGTGTGTGTGTGTGTGTGTGCGTGCATGTGTGCGTGCGTGCAGGCCACTCCTGTCTTTGTAGGGCTGATCATTCTGGAGCTGTTGGTGAGCTTGCTGAAGACAGGAGCCCCGGCGGTCACCGTCAGTGATGGACTCACCTCCATTTCTTCTGGAATGATCTCCAGACTCCCAATGTGAGTGTTCGGGCAGGTCGCACTGAAACAAAGATCACAGTACTGCGTGTAGTACCAGAACAGCTAATGTGCTACACGGTTTGACTTTTATCTCTTCTTATCAGACATTTTTATCATTACCATAGCTGTTTTTGTGTTTGTTTTGCTCCTTTTCTTATCCTGAAGTTAGCATGCTAACTAGCTAGCCCCGGTCCGACTGGACTGTCTCTTCACTTTCCGATACCGAGTCACTGCAGCTCCTGAAGTCGTGCAGCTTAGAGGACGTGTTATAACCTCTTTTATAAATCAGTCAAAGATAAGACAGTCAAGCACAACGCTCTTGATTACACAACATTTCTACACTGTTTTTAATTTGGTACCATTATTATGGAAAGTGCATAAAACCATTTTCAGCATAATTTGTAATTTGCTAGACTGATTTAAATATATATATATTTATTTATTCACAAATAATACACTATACTGTTGCATCATATGCACCTTAAAATTGCATGTAGTTGTTTTTGTGGGATTGTGAAACCCACAAAAAAACAGTTTGTCCTGAAAACTGTTTAAAAGAAGGTAAAATATCTGCTGCGTGTTCCCACATCATTATGTATTCTGTCTTGAAATGTGACTTCCACAGACTTCTGTTGCCCTTGAAATGGAAAACAGCTACAGAGCTGAAAAAGACAGACAAGGCATCTCGCCAGCGTGGTCTCATTACTATTTTTGAGATTCAGTTGGACGGAGAGTTGAATTTTTGATGTTTGATCGTACAGAAGATGCTGTTTACAAAGTAGGAGGTTTATGATGCAGCACAGTCATCATACACTGAAGCGTGCAGACGATACATGAGCTGAAGGTTAAAGAGGTGATGACTCTCCCCTCCCTCAGGTTGCTGATGAGAAGCTGTGAGCTGACGGCTTACATGTATGTGTGGGACCGGTACCGCCTGGTGGAGCTGCCCTGGGACTCTGCCTGGACCTGGTGGTTCACCTTCCTGGGGGTGGACTTCTGCTACTACTGGTTGCACCGCCTCGCTCACGGTACCGACACCAGACGCTCGCACTGATGTACACAGAAAACGATAGGGAGTGGAGTTTAGTTTGCTGAAACTTTTTTTTCATATCACTCTCTCTTTTTTTGGCAGTAGTGTCGTTGCTAAGCCGTCTTCGCTGTGTGGTTTCTGCACTGCGTATTCAATAAAAAAAACAATACGCACATCCTGAGTGTTTTTCGACATAAAAGCAGACACAGGGTTTTCAAAAGAGAAATCCCTGAAGTGTGTTTGTGGAGGGACGCTCACCTCTCTGCAGGCTTAAAAGGTGGATGTGACAGCTTTGAAGTTTGCTCCTTCATGGAGCATGGCGGCTGTGGTCAGCCGAGATTCACGGTGGTTACTATGGATTTGAATAGTGACCACTTTTCCTGGTGGAAAAAGAATCAAAATGTCAGTAGAAAGTTTCCAAACCATTCCTACAGGATAATCCTCCTCTCCGCTGACCAGACACACGCTCGGTGTGTTTCAAGCAGTTATATTTAAGCTGCTTCGCTCTCATTCATGCATTCAGAGATGCACTCCTGAAGCTTTTACACATTCAAACGTTAACAATGAAGGTGGAGCAGCAAGTGTTGTGTTTGTGTTCTCGGTCTAAAGTAAGTAAAAGTAAGATTACTTTGCCAGTGGAACTCCGCCGCCCTGCCAGCACCGAACTAACTATCCTCCTCTTTCATGTGTCTCTCAGATAAAACCAACAAAAAACTACAAAGCCAGTTGATGATAAATGGTTGTAAAAATGTTGATTTAGTTGCCATCCCTGCAGGAAGGAGCCGTGAAGATAGCACACACATCATGCTTTCCTGGACGTTGCAGAGGAAGCAATTATTTTTGAGTTACATCCAGCTGCTTTAGAGCTGTGCAGATGTGAGAGGCCGTGGTCTCCAGAGGACTGTGGTCTTAACCCGCCGCTGTCACAGCAACAGGCTGTATATAGTCATGTCTCTGAAGCCGCTAACATCCTGCAGCATCACTGCACTGAAAGAAAAAAAAGAAAACAGAAATGAAAAATATTTACCGGACACAGTTTTCCGACAGTTTTGGCTCGACAAAAAAACAACAACAAAAAAAAACGGCGTCCTTCCATGTGTGTTGGCTGATGCGCGTGCCAGATGCCCAGCTGCTCGCCACACAGCACACCGGAAAAGAGGTATTTATTTGTGGCCTGCGCTCATGTTTATTTGTGTCAGTGGCACATCGAGCCTGCCCGACGTCTAGTCCGCATAGTTTTGGATGAAAGTCCACTGCCGCTGCGTCGACGTTAGAATCTGGCTTTTTTTCAAGGCGTCTGCCGCAGCTCGCCAGCAAGTGTCCTACATGATTTTGAGGTGACCAAGAACCTCACCGTCACCTCAGGACGCTCTGACTCTACCACTGTATGTGCACCAGGGGTATTTTTAGCTCCCACCACCTTGGCAAAGGGCATGAGAGGCGTTATTGTTGTCATTGTGCACAATAGCTGCACAGGTTCTCCTGCAGAGACGGTGATCTCACTGGATCTGGGAGCGTTTAGCGATATATATACCAGATGTATTACCCATTTTTTAATGTAGAAACATGTGTAAACAGGGTTGTTTACATAAAAATCTGGGCAATTAATGTCACAGAAACTAAATTATTCCAAATTGATTTGCAGGGAAAGTATCATAACAGCCAGAGGTGTAATTTTAGGGCTGAAACTAATGATTTATTTTTCATTATTAATTAATTTGCTGCTGTTTCGTCTGTAAAACGTCTGAAAATGATGAAAAATGTTCATCAGCGTCGTCCAGTTTTCCAGTGAGAGAGTTTATTTGACAGAAACGTCTGAACGAGTTGAATAATATCATGAATAATGTTGCTCGTCTGCGTTTGTGTGTGTTATGAGTCTACGAGGAGAACAGTGAGGATAACCGCTTCGCTGCACTTTATTTACAAACTGAGAAGGAAACATATTCTGACGGGCTCAGGGTGTCACGAGGTTTCTCGGATGCTCCCTAACGTCCGCACTCTGCCTCCAGATCCTCTTCCATCCTCTGTCCTGGATTCTGTGGCTCAGTTGTGTTGAACTCCTGTGAGTTCTGTGTTGTCGATCATTTCCCGACTTTTCCTCTCCCGAACACTCGTTGCTCTTTTTAACACTCATCACCTGTTGATTCCTGTGTTGCCGGTGTTTTTTTTTATATTTCCTCTGGCCCTAACTAAGTTGACTCTAGTCCCTCTAATAACACCTGCCGGGCCTCGCTCGACCCCTTGAGACCCGACTGAGTAAACTGGGGTTTAACTTCTTTCTCTCGCTCTGTTTTTTCATTTGTTGCACAACCGTTTCTGGCACTTTTTTTCATGTGAACAACAGAGTGATTTCCTCCAGGAGAGACGGTCTGAAAAAGCGCTTAGTTATCTCCATATTTGAGTAATATCACGTCTCCCCCGTTTCTATGACGACCTGCCTTCGAGTGCGGCTGTTCAGACCTGACTTCCAGATGTGGACCGATCACAATGTGTGATAAATGCATTTACACGTTGCGTTAAAGATCATGTACTGACACCATATTCCCCTCTGATCCCCTCATTAGATCCACTAGATCCAAAACTCTTAATGTCAGATTATGAATTAAATCTTTAATTATTCCAAATTTAAAATCCACGCTGATAAATTTCTCGTCAACCTGCTTTTGCTTTGTTGTTGACATCGTTTGGAGATAGTCAGTGTTCTCGCCAGCGGTTCAGTTAAGGCGTCAAAATTAGGGTGGTTATTTTCATTGTCGATCAATATGCTAATATGCTAATTACCGGTTCTATAAAATGCTCGTCAGTACCCAACATGACTCATTCAGATGTCTTGGTTCCTCTGATTGACGGTCTAAAACTCCCAAAGAGAAAACCCTCACAGCAGAGGAGGGGAAACAAGATGGTTTTTGGCATTTTTGCCTGGAAACAATTAATTGATTATCAAAGAAGTTGCATTTTTCTTTTGATTGACTAATCATTTATCGGATGAAGAATAAATAGAAACAAATGAATAAACACTTTTGTCCTTTAAAGCTAGAGTAATGTAGAGAACGGACTATTTTTAAACAATACATTTGAAAAGAAAAGCAGAACATCCCCATTCTTCCTTTTATTGATCTTTAAGTTGTTGCTGAATGTTATAATTTATTTATTTTTATTGTTGTTGTTGTTATTATCTTCATTTTCTTTGCATCCAACAGCCACTTTAGTCCGTTACACTTTGTTTTATATCTATTTTATGGTTTATTTTGTTGGTTTTGTGTCTCTGCATGTTCTTGTTTTACATTAGATTGAATCTGTGTGTTTTGTTTGTTTGTTTGTTTGTTTGTTTGTTTTGTTGGTGAATATGTGGCAGAGTGTGTTGTGTGGACAGCAGGCGTCTGTATCACAGAGTCAAAGCAAAGCAAAGCAGTACCTTAGTGGGAATGTGTCCCTGGCAGCGAACTGGCATCTGTGTCCTCGTCAACGCTCACACAGAATTTTGTCAATAAAGCTCCAGGTTTGTATTTTGTAAATCCAGGAAACCGGAGTTAAGCAGCACTACATGCTGATGTTTCGAGGGTTAACGCTCCATGTGTGCGACTTATTTTTAGCATCGCCATGGTGACTTGTCTGCTGAGTAATATTCAGTGAAACCTGAAAGGGGGATTTAATGATGTATGTGTTCCCGGAGTTGCCCTCATTGTCTGACGATGCAGAGCAGTGACGCTCACAGTATCAAATATCTGCTCGGTTTATTTGGTTGGAATTCTTTTATTTTTGAACTGCAGAATCATTTTTTATGAAAAAAAAAAAAAAAAAAAAAGTTTCCACTTACTTTCATTTCCTCTTCTTCCAGCCCGTTGGGGTTGTTATTATGGAACATTGTGGGGTCGCAGATAATTGTCTGGTGCTGTGTGGCCGCAGCGCTCTCGCTCAGGATGTATAAGCTTTTTCCCTCGTTACCAAAGGGACGCGGCGCGCTCCGACCGCAGGACAGAGCCGGCACGGTCCTCACTCCTCACTCTGGTCAGCCGAGGTCATCTCGGTCAACCAGAATTTGACCTCCGGCTCTTTCCAAAGCAAGGTTCAACCAAAATATTCCAGCGTGTGGGATGGATGCTGCCTGTAATGAAGCACTGAAGAATCAGACATATGTAGGATGCGGCTAGAGAGCAGTTTAATGAGTGTCAAATTGTCATGTAACAATGCTTTAGGAGGGCCTGTCTTGTTTTATTGCACTCATATCTTGGAACGGTTTTACAATCTGACCGTTTTTTTTTTTTTTTTGTGTGCATGGAAACAGCAGGAACACTGCATCTATAATCCCACTGTGTCAAGACATGGGAGCTATTAATCTCAATATTACATAATAAGGAAAAATCACAATAGAAAACTGCAAAAAGAGGCAAAAGTGACATCCTCTGCTGGGAAATACGAGCCCTTATTAGCCTCAGTGTAAAATATCAATTTCAGCTTGACCAGTTTTATGGCCCTTTTTTTCCCTAGTTTCCCCTCTCTTGACTTCCACATGAAAGGACAGCTCGAAGATAATTAAGTGGAAAGTACTTTGAAAGGCGGTCAGTCGTCTGTGCCGATGCCTTCTTTACCGAGGAGACATTACTGCTTTGGCTCTGCTCTCGCCAGACGCTGTGATCTTGGAGATAGCACCAGATTGAAAGGAAACTGAGCTCCACGCCAGTCTGCAGACGTTTAGGCCTGGATGAAGTTCAGGATTCTCCATTGACAGAAATATTAGCAAAATCCATGCAGCTAGACCGTGTTTGTGGCCTTTGCTTGGCATTCGGTCTGAATCTGCGTAGACAAACACCAGCCGCGGTTAGAGTTGAGGCAAATGTGGAATTGCAAACATCTGAATGACCTTAGTGCATACATTGACTCATAAGAAGTGCTCCTTTATCTTTACTCTTGATATCAGTATTTGCTTGAGCTCTTGAAATCGGTGTCTTCCCAAAGTTCTTCTTTTGTATCTGTCCCGATTGCATTTGTCACGTTCGT